TTTCTAAGAGGGTTTAAATCTCCTCTTACAAGTTATAGCGCGAAATATATCGCGCGTTAATTTTCACAAAATGACCTAATTAACCCGAACACAATTATTCTGTCACTTTCTTCGAAAGTCGGAACAAAAAAATCCATCTTATACAGCAGAAACCAAACCTCGAACCTCCAATTTTAGCAAAAAGGAAGTTTTTGGGTACAAAGTTTTTTTGATGATTCGGTACTAAGGAACATCAACTGACGGTTTTTTTTCAAAAAGTTACTCGGGAAGTTGTAAGTTGTAGGATACCTGCTAGTATACAGAAAAATTGACGATTTACTGGTTGCTGGTGCTACCAATTATGATTTTCATCAAGCCTTCAACTGATTTTTGTAAATGAATTTGTATAATATGAATTTTCTCTATTTGTTTATGAAGTTCAAAATATAGCCAACCAAACAATTGGAGGAGTAACAATCAATTCAAATTCTCAAATTGCTCAACTTTCGATTTTCGAGATTCGAAAACACATTTCAGTAAAGACAATTAGTGCTCAAAAACTGCATCAAGAAATAATTTCAATTCTAAATCTGAAACTTAAACTCCACAAAAATATAAATCAAGCTCCATTTTTGCCATCCAAAAACAACAGAGATTTTTGCTTTCCATAAACAGGACTGTTTTTTTTCTGTTCTTTATGGAGAAGAAATGAAAGTTCAAATAGCCAAAAACGTAACTTTTTGCTGCAAAAAAACGCACAATCGTAATAGCTGAGAGTTCTATTTGAGAAAACACGACCAGAAACAGATTCAACAGCTCTAAATGAAATCTCAAAACAAAGCTTCTACAACTAATATTTCTCTGGGAAAGTTAAGTTTTTTAAGCTCAACTGATCAATTTCTAAGAATTGTTATTTGTAATGAACGTTACTCGATCGCGTTTTTTGCTCAAAATAAGACCAAAAATTAAAAATTTTAATCAAGTTTTTCGCTACGCCGAAAAAAATGTATTGAATTTTTTAATGTTATTAGAATCACAACTAAAAAGGTTTTAAAATGAAATATCACTCGACCCATTCCGGTGATTATATGTTGTATCTGAATTTGCCTGGAAAACAAAAATAAAAACACGCGCGAATACAAAGTTCATTCTCATTTTAAGTGATCGCAACAACTGGATAAAGGTGCAAAAAAAGAATTGCAAAAGTTCACTGGAAATCAACATTACAAGTAATTTGGCTTTTTGAAAATTTCCATTTCACGTTTCTTCTTTTATGGGTGTATGAAACAGGGAAGGGAGAAAAGCAAAAACGCAAAACGCAAGATTCGTGTGATACCTGGTGTTCTCGCTTGCGTAGCCTTGATGAAACACAGTTGTAAACTAAATTGCTTAATACAGTGTTTTTATAATCTCTTGTATGAAGAAGTGATAATGGTATTGAAAAAAATCATAGAAGGTAAAATCACATGCTGAATGTTATTTCTCAAGTGAATAACTTGGCTCTTACAGATTGATTTTGAATAATATATCATATTAATTAGCGAGTTCACGTAACTTATATAGAAAAAAATCATCAGACTGCTAAATGCGCACTACCACATTCTCCATACGACTGATCAAATTTGTGTACTCATCATCAAAAAAATTAGGTATTATCATAGTTCAAATGTCAGTTTATGCTTGTCTTCCCACAAAGTTTCTAGGCAAAATATATTTTTTCACCTTTGTTTTGCTTCCTTTTTCTGTTTGTTGGTTTTTCCCAGCGGTTTTTTTTTCAGCTAACGTTCCATTTCCTCGTAAAATCTCAAGATTCATTGACAAACTTTTCTTAGAAAGAACTTTTTTCCAGTGCTCTCTGTTTCTTTTCCATCGGTTCTTCCGATGAGTCCGCTGTCATAGAAGCCAACTTTGCTCTTTTACTTGTAGAGCCGACAGACACATGCCTTCTACTTCTCCCATTTTATTATGGAAGAAACAGAAGGCATGTGTACCTTGTAGAGCCGATAGAGCAACTTCTACAGAGAAGTAGAAGTTGCTCTATTATTTGTAGAGCCGACAGACACATGCCTTCTACTTTTCCTTTTTTATTATCCGTGCTCTGACTGAATGGCTTAAAATCTGCAGTTCACTGACTGCATGGCGTAATTTGCAACCGTATATTTTGGATCTTGATTTCTATTTGGCACAACTGTGTCCGCAGTCGTTTATTCTCCGCGCGAGACTGAAAATCCTGGCAATGACTGCTTTTGTGACGACTCTCCTGAGTCTTGTTCTCTTCTTACAACCTTTTTCGTTGCTAGTTACACACCTCAAAAACACAAAAAATAAGAAAGAAAAAAAACAAAGGTCAAATTGCAAAAACTGCAATATTATGTTGTAGAAAACAGACAACCGTAACAGCTAAAGCTCATCTTTTCCCTGAGAAACAATGAGAGTAATTAGAAAAATCTTGAGTTCAAGTCTCAATTT